CGACCTACAGCCCCAGAAGTCTAGTACCTCCCTACCATGTATACCGACCCGTATTTACCAAGTTGGCTATGGTAGGTATATTGACATAGTAGTGCTTTAAGTGGGGGGTGGGAGTGTGATCACTCAAATTTCAGTAGTATTCTCCTAGTAAGTATAATTTCTAGGGTTTCAAGATTTCCATTCTATATGGTTTATCTTTCAGGTGTGCTGGAAGGGAAACTTCATAGAGGGAATTTGAATTAATAGTTAATTTATATCTGTAATTTATTGTCCATCATATTCTTGGTTTCAGCTTCTACACATCTCAGTTATAAATTTTGTGCCAGTAGAATTCCAAGAGGATATTTTGCTTGCACATCCCATATAATTCAGAATTTACAAGAACCCTAATAAGGTTCCCACGATATATAACTACTTTGGGGTGCAATTTTTTATGGACACTGCCTCTTCTTTTTCTACAAATTAATTTGATCATTTTTAGTAGTAACCCATAGAAGGGTCATTTTCTTTTGCACAGATGAGTTGCTTTCATAACTCAAGCCCACTTTCTCATCACACTTGTCAAACTGTTGCAATAAGCATCTCTTTTATTGCATAGCCATCTATTGGGATAGGCCCCAATACAAAGCATCATTAATTAATCTCAAGGTCAATTAAATGATTTTGACCTAGAACATGCAGCCTCCACTCATGATGAACCATGTAACCCCAAATGTGCTCTTGACTGGTTGGCTCAAATGTTATTTAAGTTAACAAATTAGCAGATGAATGATGAGCCTGTTGAGGCTTTGATTCTGTCTTTACATTGCGAGACATCTCTTGGGGTAGGCCCCCAAATACAATGTATCAGCAATCTCAAATACCAAAATATGTCAACTGTTCAAGTACAACTTGTTGAAATTGTGTTAGGCTCAAATTCTGTTGGAGCTAGAGATTTGAATTTGAGCTTGGTTTGGTTTAAAGTTTATAATTTTGAGTTCAACTTGAATCGAGCTCGATTACAAGCCAAGCCAAGTTTTTTCTAAAAAATAATAATTATATGTAATTTTTTATTTTATATATATTTATATTTATATGTATGTATGTATGCATGTATGTATTTATATATGTATGTATGTATGTATGTATGTATGTATGTATGTATATAATAAAAAAATATTTATTTATTATATTAGGCTCGCCAGCCTCAAGAGCCAAGCTTCATAAGGCTTAAGTTCCGCTTGATTAGCAAACGAGCATTTGTATCAAGCTAAAGAAGCTTGAATAACTGGTAAAAAATTCGGCTCGTAATCACCCCTAGTCAAGAGTCATGTAATCCCTAATATGTTCTTCCACTGATTGGTTCAAAATTTATCTACATTACAAATTAACAAATGAACTATGAGCATTGCGTGGCTTTTATAGTGTGAGCTTACCTGTCTGATCATAGCTAGCTCTCATTCTCACCTTGAAGAAAGAGCTTATATAGTTGCTCCTAAGCTTCTCATGTCTTCAATCAATATTTTCAAAGAATTGGTGCTAAGTTGACTCGCATCTAATGCTAGAAAAGCATTAATTAGGGCCTAAATTTCATTGAATGTTGGGGGTGGAGGAACTGAAAGACAATGTGACTCTCACTTCTAAGATGTAAAATTTATTATGCACATGTGTTAGTTAGGGCATGGAAATTCATGAATTTCTTATTCATCGTGAGCTTTTTAATAGCTCAAACTGAAGCTTGATTTTTTTATTATTGTTATATTTAATTAATTATTTTATTCATTAAAAAATAAATTAATAAGTCATTTATTTCAACTACTTCAATCATCATCAATCAACACCTTGTCGACCAGGTGTAAAAGAAGAAGAGAAGATACTAAAATACCTTATTATCATCATCATTATTATTTAGTTTTTCTGATCTTGACTCTCTAATCCCCTAAATGGTGAGAGATGTTCAAATGGGTTAGAAGAATACGTAAACATACTTACAGGAAGGAATTATGTAATCGATGTCTCTGTACATAGTTTTAAATGACTGCTATATTTCAGTTTCAGATGTATCAACCAACTTTGATTTTTTTTTCCTGAAAATTTGGGATTTGGGTCATTTATTTTGCCTCCAATTTTAACATGATGCAGATAATTAAATAATATTAATATGAGTAAACTCCATATACCACCTTACTATGGGGGTGTTTTACTTATTAAAAAAAAGTAGTATGGGGTGTTTCAACTAACTACCTAAATTTCATTGTGTCAAATTCCCCTCTAAACTATAAGTTAAGCAGATAAGTACCTCTGTTAACATTCTGTCAGGAAAATCCATCTAGATAATTTCAAATACCCAAATTACCCTTCTAAATTTAATGCTAAACTCACTCCGACAAAATTATTTACCTTGTTCAAGGCAAAATGCCTTTTTCTTGTCTTAAAATATGAAATGAAGAGAAGGGTAAACCGTCCAGAATGATAATTTGGACATTCAAAAACGTCTAATACATCACATCACACGATGTGTATAGGGGCATTTTCTGTCCATTTTCCGTATTTATTTAGCTAATTTGTGATAATTTAGTGGGAAATCTAACTCAAACGGAAGTTTAATTAGTTATTAAGTGAAAGACCAACATAGTATGGGCCTCTAGGGGGCATGTGGAGTTTATTAATTTTAAACATTATAATACAATGCAAAAGTATGATAAAAGTAATTAAAATATATAAAATTTAATTCAAAATACTAACATTTCAGATAATTCCATTTCAGATTGAGGATCCAAAATGGCAAAAATTTCCAAAATGTAGAACCTTGTAAAACACAACATTCAATGTGCTTTGCCTATGAAGCCAAGATGGTACTATATATATATATATATATATATATATATATATATATATATAAGATGTTAATTATATATATATATATATATAAGATGTTAATGGGTGATCATGGTAATATACTTTTAAGTCAAGAATGAAAATAAACATTATAAATGTAAACTTCTATATCAAAATATCAATACCTTTCATACTAAGCTCAAAAGAGCAAAGTATCAATTTTGGTTATAAATAGTTGAAGGATATTATTGGGACATTGTACTTTGGTACTATTTTTTCCAACTAACCCCATCTACTTTTACATAATTATCACATAACCCTTGTATTGAAATGGGTTTCAGTGCTTACACTGTTTGCACAGTTTTGTGAAAAGGCTGTGCGAATGGTGTGAGCATAGTCTTGTGAGCGCTGAAGCCGATTTCTTTTCCATTACCATATTAAGGAGATATGGTATATGCCTATGTGTCAAGGTGCCAACAAGCATTGGGGCACCATGTGGCATTCTATATATGCCGAGTTGATGAGCATGATTGTGACACATGTCCATTGAACATGCATTGTCAGACATTTTTAAAACCTTTATAGGTCAATTAATGTGCACCATAAAAGTAGAATAGTAGATGATAAATATATACTCCCACAAAATTCCTTTCTATCAAAGTGGTCTCTTTAAGAGCAATAAATTAATCTTGGCCATCCAGGTAATGTAACAAAAGATCTGAACTAATCTTGGCCATTCAAATAGTACACAAGAAATTAATTCTAAGAAAATGTGGGCCATATAAAGTGATATATCAAATAATACCCAAAACCTGGACAGTCAAAATGGGTTGTGAAGATCAATCAAATGGATTTCAAATTTTCAACCATCTGAATGATGTACTAAGATTTCATCTAATCTATCCCATCCAAATGATATACCTAATCAACCCAATGATCTAGGGCATCAAAGCGGTCTCCTAATTGATCTCAACGATTCAACTAATTTATCAAAATTTCAATTGCTATTGACCATTCAAGTAATGAACTTAAGTTTCTTAAAGAAAATTAAAGCCATGTATAGTAAGTAGTAACCTATTTGATAGATTACTCAACCATCCAAATGATAACATCAAGATCTCTACTAGTTTAATTACTACCAGTTTACTTGCCTTCAGGACCAAATTCTCTTTAACCATCACCACTTGCTTAGTTGATCTCTTCATCCTCATCTTCATATTCTCCACCTCCACTGCACACCATATTCAATGCCACCACCAACCCTTCTCTCCTCTAAGCAGCTCCATCTTTTTCTTTTAAAAAGCATTAAAAACTTATGAGTAATGCTGAATTTGGTTAAGCTATTGCTTTTTCTTTGAGTGTTTGATAAAAGATGCCTTTAAAAACATAATAATCTAAATTCAAAGCATTTCTTTTAAGCCTAAAGTTGGGGCTTTATGCTTTAAAAGCACAAATTGTGAAGCTTATCCAAAGGCAACCTAATTTTATTAAGAACCCACCCACTGTTAATTAACACCTTCAGGACCCATTTGACATTAATGGGGTAAGTTTCGAAAAAATTAATATAAGGGACCATGAGTCACACCTCCAAATTAAGTAAAGGAGGGGGGGGGGTCTTTGTGATTTACCCAAAACTAAGAGCAGGGACTCCCATTAATGGTGGCTGTCTTCTTGATCCATTACACCAGAAGACAATCCAACTTTGGCATTCAAGGACACTTGCAGCAATTCACAACGCCTCCAACTCTTATCATTCAACGCAAATAAATGAGTTACACCAGTTACGCATATTTTCTTATCAAAGACACGAACCCTTTCTATCTAATCTGCTTAGTATTGGAATGCATTCCAATCTGAGCAACTCAGGAACTGATCAAGTTGAGAATTGAGATACATCACTGTTCACAGCACAGTTCAATGTCCTCCCAAAATTAATGCAACGACCAACTCTCTCAACCGTAAAAGCAAAAAACGTGGCCTCGAGATTTATTTCATGCATGCTTAATTACTCTCATCACTTCCTTCTTCCCACCTTTCCTATATATTCCTCTGCTTGGCTTTTCAATTTGTTTACACACATCACTCCTTTTCTTTCTCCAACTCCATCTTCCTTTTCTTTCTCCAACTCCATCTTCCTCCTTATCTTTGCCATTTTCGTTCTTGCTTCTTTCCTTTCCTTCTTGATGGCGTGGGAATTCAAGAAAATGTATATGATGTGTGTGTTCTTGATGGCACTGTCGAATCTGTCGCCTACGGTCCGAGCCGATCCACAGGTTCCTTGTTACTTCATATTTGGTGATTCATTGGTTGATAATGGAAACAACAATATACTTTCGTCTTTGGCTAGAGCCGATTATCAACCCTATGGGATTGACTTCCCTGCTGGACCGACCGGAAGGTTTTGCAATGGTAGAACTACTACTGATGTTATTGGTGAGCTATACCCTCTCTTCCTATAAATAAGCTTAATTATAACATAATAAACTGAAACTGGATTAGTTACACTTAAATCTCAGTTTGGAAGGAGCACAAATACAAATACGTAGAGTGCAAAACCTTGTATTTTGTATGTATTTGTATTGTACATATTTATATTTATACTCCTTTCAAACATTGTCTGATGACTGTGTTAGGGGCTGTTTAACCAATAATAACGCCCCAAACCAGTTATGCACGCAAAGTGAGAGTTTAAAGTGTGGGGCATGTACACTTGATGGCTGACTTGGGTCATTATTTTTGGTTAAACATCCCTTAACACAGCTTCAAGTGCTTCCAAACTGTTACATTGCAAGTGAACTATAATTAGCAAATGAACTTCAGATTTGTAGAACAGTTTGAAGAGTAACAATGTGCTTGATTTAAGCATATAGAGATTGGTGAGTAGGCAAAGCGATAATCAGATGAGACGGGATCTGCTCCTCACAAATGGGCGCCTCACATGCATATCTACCATGCATTGGGAACATATCCCATGAATAACAATTAATAAGTATGGGAGATGTTCCCAATGCATAGTTGAGTGTGTGTGTAAAGCACCTGTGAGGCGCCTTTTGTGAGGAGCAGATCCAGTCTCTAATCAGACCAGTTGAACCTGGCTGATTAGAGACTTAGAGGCTGGGCAGGTCTTTTCTTTTGCCAAGTCATGGACAATTGATATGCTAATTTTCACACATTCTAACTTTTTATAATAATAATAATAATAATAATAATAATAAAATCCAGGTTGGGCCTTAATAAACTAGTGGGTGGATGGTTTATGCCCAAGACTGTGTTCTTAGAGTTTTTCATCATTGGTTCGGCCAGGTCAACGATGGGTTAAAAACACAGATGGGCCCATTCGCCGACCACCTGATAAATTTGGCCCACGATGCTTTAGGGGACTAAACGTATACCATAAATGCATGATGGATCACAAGTCCACATCCCAAGCTAGCGGTTTGAAATAATTGTGCCTAATGTGATGTTGCATTGAATTTGATGCAGACCTAGTAAATATATGGGTCGAGAATCACGGCCAACCTCGTGGGCTTGGCGGGTTTAGGGTCATTCGTTGCTGTTCTATTCAATGCCCTTAAGCCCCATATATGATCTCTATCACTGAGAATGAGAGAGAGGGACACAATTCGACCCAATTGAATTGACTACTACTGTAGCTTTCATGACTCGTTAGTAGTTGATTTTGACAAACACCTGCTTAGGTAGTCTTAATGTGACTGGTATGGTTTTGATTTCAGAGACTTCTGAGATCAGGAAATCCGTTTCTAACAAGTGAGTACTGGAATCACTGTGTGGGTCCATTACCACTCTCTTTTGCTGATATAACGTGTCAGACCTGCTTGAGAAAATGTGAATCAATCCACATTGAAGAACACACTAATAAATTTTTTGATTCCCAAAAACCAATGAAATCAAAAGCACTCTCTGGGCCTAGTTTCATGTGGCATTTAATACATAAGTTTTCAATTGGGTTTATTTTACTTTGCTTCACGTTTTGTTTTACTTTCAGAGTTCAGACAAACTAAATGAGGTAAAAGTTGATATGCAAATAAATCAGAATTTGCACTCCCATGCTTTTGCACCAGTGCAAAAGAAATTCCACTGCAGATAAAGCAGGCCTAAATAAATGTCATACGCTCATCACATAACCACAACTTTTGCTAATTATGCTCATGGAATGCAGCTCAACTCTTGGGGTTTGATGATTTTATTCCACCATATGCAAGTATAAGAGGCCAAGAGCTCCTTAGAGGGGCAAATTTTGCTTCAGCAGCTGCAGGAATAAGAGATGAAACGGGAAGGCAATTGGTAATGCTTTTCCTAATTCTTTTCTTTCCCATGTCAGTTTGTTAAATTAAGATTAGAGCTCTAAGCAGTAATACCACAGTAGCTTTATGAAACAACTTAAAATTTTCTTTTCACAGGGTGATCGGATCAGTATGAATGGACAAGTAAGAAATTATCAAACTGCTGTGGCTCAATTGGTCGAAATACTTGGCGACGAGGATTCGGCAGCCGACCACCTAAGCAAATGCATCTTTACAGTTGGAATGGGCAGTAATGACTACCTCAATAACTACTTCATGCCTTTGTATTACACAACAGGCCAGCAGTTCAGCCCAGAAGAATATGCAGATGTTCTAATTCAAGAGTACTCTGGGCAATTAAGGGTCAGTATAGTGTTTAATTTAACCTAATTGAAATTGATCAGGAATAAATAAACCTGGGACTAACACATTCTTTCTGCTGTTTATGAAACAGACATTGTATGATTATGGAGCAAGGAAGGTAGCAGTGATAGGAGTTGGTCAGATTGGTTGCAGCCCAAATGAATTGGCTCAAAACAGCCCCAATGGAGTGACTTGTGTTGGCAGAATCAACTCTGCAAATCAAATATTCAATGAGAAGCTTAAAGCTCTAGTTGATGATCTGAACAGCAATCTAGATGGTGCCCATTTCACCTACATAAATGCCTATGGGATTTTTGAGGACATGATGAAGAATCCTTCAGCCTATGGTACATAGTCTTATGCACATAACTAGTCCCTTGATCTTTGTTTTGCTTCTTTTTATATATGTAGTTGGGAAAGGCAGGTAGACAAATTTGCATCAGTTACAAAGCAGCCCACATGGAAACCATTTATGGATACCAACATGATGATCAGGTTTCTTCTGCATGTGTACCTTAATAAACATGAACAAGGTGCAATGATCATGGCCACTCATCAATTTGTTCCATCCAATTGGATGGGGGTTATGATCCATCTGATTAGAATTGGGAGGGGATCAGATTAATTAAGTACTTAATCTTAGAAGCATATAATAAGGGATTGCATTAATGATATTTCAATGCTTCAATTTCAGGGTTTACTGTGACAAACAGTGGATGCTGTGGTGTGGGGAGGAACAATGGTCAGATTACATGCCTTCCTCTTGAAATTCCATGCCAAAATAGGGACCAGTATCTGTTCTGGGATGCCTTTCATCCAACTGAAGCTGCAAATGTGGTCGTCGCAAGGAGGTCTTACAGCGCCCAGTCTTCCTCTGATGCTTACCCCATTGATATTCGTCGCTTAGCTGCAATCTAAAGATGGAGATGCTATGGTTTCTAATGAAATGGAACTTATGATGATTAATCTTTTATACTAGTACTCTTGTGCTGCTGCTATATATCTCCAAGTTGTAAGAGTAGTGATCTTGTATTAGTAATTGTGTTTCAATAATATGTGTAGAAGGTTGATACAGCTTGTTTCTTTATCTTTATTTCAAGCAACGATGAAATTGCTATTAATGACTAACGAGTACTTGGAGGAGGGAAATAACCTGACCCCTCAAAAGGTATAAATTAATATCAACTTAATAAAAGTTCTAATTATACCGAGGGTTGAAGCCTTTGTTTGGTCTACACTTATGTCATTATTATTAAAAAGGAAAGTGGGCTATCTATCAACCCAATTAGTGCTCAATCAATCGTGTAGTCCAGATGTGGGAACATTGGCAAGTCATACAGGCCCGTTTTAAATCAACTGGGCCCATTAAAGGTAGTTTCACTGTTTTTCTTTTTTTGAAGGAGGTAGTTTCACCTTAAAGGGGTTGCTTTATGAGTTGGTTATTGGAGAGTAATTTAGTTTCCTAAGAAAAGCTTAATGGGTCCATTGTAATTAATATGGGTCAGCTAATATCTGTATTATTCTTTTTTTTTTTTCCGAGGAAGCTATATATCAGAAATATTCTGGATGACATAATCCAACATTCATGAATGTCAACAACCCAAGAATTTCCTTAGCCTTATAATGCTAGTTGTGTGGGAGCCCACGGTTTCATTTAAAAACAACTATATTGAATATCCAAGCTATTCTGACAATCCAAATCAACTGCATTAATGGTATAGGCTCAACTCTCAAGCTACTCAGACAGAGTAGATGATGGGCCCTTTTCCGAGGGCTTAGGGTTCGTTTGGGAGGGCTGACGCTTTGATTCAGTTGTTTTCATTTAGGCTCTTTGATGAAGAAGTTACTAAATGAAACTTTGGTAAGTAGAAAGCCTTTTTTTCCTTTGCTGACTCACAGCACAATTGAGCTTTCTGGTTTTTAACTAAACATTTATTATGGGCTGTCCATGTGGGGCCCACCTTGCAAAGAAAAAAGATGTCACGAAAACCCCTCCCAAACACATAGGCACTAAGTTGAGTTGCATCACAGTAACAGCTGTCAGCTGGAAAGAGTCAATCAATCGTTAAATCAGCTCCTGGGAGCAATTGTAATTTCATTTGTGATTAAGGTTTGGCTGAACGCGAAGGTTTAGCAGTCTGTGGAATCAATGATAAAGTTTTGCATCAGTCGTAAAATAGATAGAGCTCACATCTTTCACAGTGGAGTCCATGAATTTATTATTAACATGGAATTTCATCATTGGTTCCATAGTAAGCCTAATAGTCATCGCGTTCAACTAATCCGAATTCTTCATTTGTACTGGTTAAATATATGGAGGTGCAAATTGGGTGAGTGTGAAAACTGGTTTACTTTTGATTTGGCTGCCTTATTTTGTTTTCAAAAAGTAAAATAGGAGGTAAAATGAAGTCATCTCCACTTTATATGAGAACAAATGGAGGTAAGAGGATGGTTATTTGGAAGTGAGAAGTTCCGATCAGGTAGGCACAACATTGTAAACACGGTAAATGAGCACTTAAAAATTTTTTTGACACTTGTCTCTTAAATTTCCCTCAGCCTATCCTTGAAAAAAAATTAATATCCACTTTTGATAGTTGTCAAAATATTTATCAAGTGCTCATTTAACGTGCTTATTTTGTTGTACCTACTAGATCCGGTCCTGGAAATAAGGTAGGTAGTAAGGTAATGTGATCCCCACACCATATGAGAGAGATTGATGTAGGATGAAGGCAATGCAAATTTTACATCAGTTTTTGGGATGCAAAATTTGCACAAATGACATATAAAATATAAATTTTGTATCGGGCAGAAGTGAAAATCATAGTTACAAACAAATGATGCAAAATTGAACCAAGTCTAAAATTTGTATTTGGCTCAGATTTGCATCACAAACAAATAGAGGCTTACTGAAAAGAGTTAAAGAGGATGCTATAAAAAAACATGGAGAACTGGCTAGAGCTACAAAAAGAAGCTTGAGGTGGGAGTTCTTGAAGTGGCTGAACAGTCCACACTTGCTCTGGCTCTCTGTAATTTTCACGAAACATTGCTTTTCAGATTTATGTCTCGAAAGTCCAGATCAGGTAGGCACACATGGTGAGAACCTTGGGTAACCACTTGGAAAATTTTTTGACACCTATCCCTTAAAATACCCCCAGCCTACCCTTGAAAAAGATTAAAAATAGTTTTTGATACAGTTGTCAGAATATTTATTTAGTGCTCATTGAACATTACAATGCTGTACCTACTACGTCCAGACTCAATAGAGAAACAAAAAAGTTGAGGGAAAGGAAAATAAAACCTTAAGGTTATGTTTGGTTTGAAGGAAAATGCAGGGAAAGGAAAGGAAAACTAAGGAAACCTTTACAAACCTTGTATAGGTTACCCTGTCTTTCCCTTCCTTTCCCTACCTTTTCCTTCAAACCAAACATAGCCTAATGGTTGTCTCAACATCTGCTTCTCCAATTTTCATTATCAAGCCAAACATAGCATACGGGTTTCCCTACCATTCCCTTTACAAGGTTTTGTACAGATTTCCCTACCATTCCCTACCTTTTCTTTCAAACCAAACACAGTCTAAATGTTTCCGATGGATGAATTGGGAGGATGCATGATGACTGGCTAGTTGGGCCAGCTTGTTGGGCAACAACACATGGGCCCAGGCCTAGACATATCTATATTACTATTAAAAGTGGGAATGAACTCTAAGAGTCTAACTTCTAGACTTTTCTTGACTAAAATACCCTTATTTTGAAAATGGTACCTCTATTTGGAGGGGAAAAACATAATTTTAACTAATACTTTTATTAAATTCATTTTGTTCCTCTCATTAAGTCTTCTATTCAAGGTATTAACTCTCATTCCCTCTCATTAAATCCTATATCTAAGATACATTAAATAAATGAGTTTTATGGAGTTTTTTCTTTACTCAAGCACCCTTACTTTTGAATTAGGTCTATCTCTAATAGTGATGACAAAAAATGAAATTTAAAGTACCATTACTTTTCACTTCATTCAATTCCGTTTCAAGAAGGTGTTAAACTTTCATTCTCTCTCTTAGATCCTTTATTTGAGGTACTAGCAAGTGTACATATTCTTTGCACAAGGTAATTTTAGTAAAGATGCATGTCCAAAATTTTCTACATTTATTTTTATATTTGTGTACAAAAATAAATTTAATTTGTCACACTTATGTTTTTTTAATATGATGGGTATATAATATTAGAGATATGCCCAAATGTGTATATATATCAAGGTTTTGAAAACCGATCCAAAAACATAACTGATCAAGGCATCGTTTTCCAGTTTGGTGGTTCAACCATCCAAGTCAAATGGTTCAACCTATGACATCATAAATAAATTAACAATAAAAATATTTATAAATAATAAAATATATTATAAAATTAAATAAATTACAAAAAAAATTGCTGCCAATAATGGAGGTGTGGCAATGTTGGGGTCATAGAGAGAAGGGGAAAATCGTTGCCGATGGATTGTAGTCTGGTCACCAGTGATTAAAATCGCCATTGCGACTATAGACTCGTCGGCAGAGGAGAAGAAACTATTGCTGCAAAACTGTTGTAGATCATTAATGAAATCGGGGGTCGCCACTGGTTGCTGGTAGTTCGTAAATGGTGGTCGCCATTGATTTAACCACCGGTCACCACTGCAAAACCATGTGCTCAATGATGGCTCAGACTCAGAGTGAGAACTAAGAAATGCAAACCTTGTGTTTGTTGTAGGTGGAGCCTCAACCGCCAATCGTCGATCGCGGTGGGTCATTATGGCTTGCCATAGGTCGTTGAAGGTCAAACTAAGTGAGCTGCTAAGAAGAGAAGAACGGAATTGATTTTAGTTCGAACCCTAACCCCCAATTACCAATTTGATGGGGACACAGGTGGATTTTTTTATTCTTTAATATAGAAAAAATAAAGCATGTAACATGCAAACCATTGACCGGGTTGAACGGTTTAGCGGTTTGACTGCCCGGGTCAGCGGTTCTCTAACCTTTTCAACATTTTTTTTTGAAAAAATATTGGTTTATAGTATAACCAGAATTGGAGATCTGACCAATTCCTGATTTTTCTTGTCTGACCGTCTGGTCCGATCCGGTTTTAAAAACATTGATATATACATAATAATAATATTATTATTAATTATATACATATATTCAAATATATAATTATGTTTTGCTATAACAAATAGTTTTTTATTTTTGTTTCAAAATTTTATATTAAAAATTAAGATTAGAGACCAAAAAAGGCTTTTTTTCGGCAAAAATAGTAGGGCAAGGTTATGGCCTCCAAGTGCAAAATTGGATCTTAAAAGTTACCTAAAATAAAAACGACCATTCCAATTGAACATCCGAACGCAAAGCTATAGCATGTTTTAAAATTTTAATGACATGTTTTGAAAATTTAACAGTCGATAAAGGGCACTTTTGACCATCAAAGTGTGGCCCAAAACATCTCACTAATGGATGACCTATTCATATGTCAAGTGGAGCCATCCAGCAAGATATATTTGAATAGTTTTTGAATGTATAGGGTATATTTAAGTAGTTTAGAGAAAATTCAGAATATATTTAAGTAATTAACCCTTCTTATTGTTATCTGGAATTGGGCTTGGGCCCTCACCTACATGAACCGAAACTTTTCCAGCATCGTTGCTATGTCCAATAGGAACAAAGATCCCGGTGAGTCCCTCACGAGATAGGCAATACCACTATACCAACATCATGCAGGGTCTCTAAGTTCCTATCTACTCAAATGGCATCTGTATTTCTCTGCAGGGACAACACTGATGCCAACTTTTCTGGGCCTTGGCATGATGGGCCTTCGGTAAAGACCACTAAGAGATATTGAATTGGAGCAGCCGAGGCCTAATCATCTAAAGTATTTATTGGATTGGATTGGACCCTGTCTATGCGATAATGGATTTATACTAGATTATGTCGGATTGAATCAACATCCAATCAATTGATGAGAAATAAGAATACAAGTGCCAATGGGCCAGTTTAGGTTGGAACCAATTTGAACAGATTGGATGATTCAGACATTGAATTGAACTGGTCCAAAATGGTTCAGAGTATTGATCGGATTAAATTGAACCTGGTCCATCTATAATAGATTCCTATTAGACATTTGGACCAGATCGTTTTGGACCAAATCCAGTCCAATTGACACCCCTACTGGGGTGGTAGTATATTGGGACCCAGTAAACATCATTAGTTCATTATTATGATTTACCCATCTTGTATTAACAACATTCAGCCTCCTAAGATCGATTCGTATATGTTTTATTCAAGCAATGGGTCACGCCCTTCTTTACTTTATGGATCTACCTATTCTTTCTTTATCGTATGTATTCTTCTAACCTAGAGACAAGTAAAACCCAATAAGGCAATAATCCTATCTTCACCAATAATGAATTAAAAGAAACCATTTTTCTGAGGGAAGAACCATTGGAAATCCAGCGATCTATTTATTAAGGCTCAGTTTGAAAGGAATAAAAATTCAAATATATACAGTACAAATACATATAAAATAATACCAAATAAAAGGTTTTTCACTTTAAAATTGTAATCATTCCAAACTGAGCCTAATGGATTCAAATCCAGATATTAATTGATTGATCCGATTCATTTAAACTTTTTTTTTTCTAATTATACTTCAAGAATTACCACTAAATAAAGAATAAAGATGCCAGCCACACCACACCAAGTTGATCTAATTTATTTTACCAAAAAAAAGTTGATCTAATTTGCTATGAGCACACTATCACGGTTGATCTAATTTGATATGGGCAGACCATGGTTGATCTAATTTGATACGAGTAGACAGTTGATCTATTTTGATATGGGCACACCACTATTGTTGATTTAATTTGATATAAACACACCATGGTTGATTTAATTTGATAGGGAAAATCTATGAAACTGGAAAGACATGGTACGGAAAGGCATGTGACATCATGTATAAACAGCACTGAACGTTTCGAAGGCCTATTTGTGTCAAGTGGAGCCATCATATAAGGTATATTTGTACAAGTGATTTAGTCAAATTATGGGGTAAATTTAAGTACACAAGGTATATTTAAATAATTAACCCTTTTATTTTTTTCAGTAATTAGAAACGTTTTGTGGCTTTAAAGGTTTTTATTTTCCAATTAGAATTTAGTTCTTCCCTACCAACTTTTTGGTTAGTATTTTTACTCCTTTTTTTTTTTTTTTTTCTTTACAAAGATTCAGTTGATAAACAAGTATGTGATAAGATAATTTCGATTACAGTATACAAATCATATCAATTATTAAGATCCATTTACCACACACAGGATAGAACACTGATATACAAAAGATGCTACCTGTATCACTATAGGCTCACAGCATGTTATAAACAAATCCATGGAGACAGATCTGCAGATTATCATTAGAAGAAAGGGAAGAAGTCACACAGGAATAAGAACTACATTAAACTGCTTCTTTTATATATAGTAGGATCCAATTAATATTTGGTTCAGCTAAATACACAGTCTACAGCAAGTCTGTCTCCAACATAAGATTGATTGTGAAATTTATGAAGAACCCATGTAGAAAGAATGCTAAGATCCTCATTTCTGTTATTTTCACCTCTGGTTCTTAGCATTCTCTTGGTACGCATATCACCCAGGAAGGATACTGCTTCGAAGAAAGAAAGAAAGACAATAGAAGGAAGGGAATTAAGAGAGAAAGAAAAGGAACTCCAGAAATATGTCCCTTGAGCATACTAACTGCAAGCAAGACAAAACAAAGAACATAATTAGATTAAGTTATGTTGAGACATAATTGTAGTAATGTGTGTGTCTCACTGATGGAGTTATCAGTTATGGTAAAAAAAAGGCTGTGTTCTAATGCTTCAGGCTTCCAGGATACTGGAAAGGGTGGGGTATTGGATTGGGACCTAGCTAACCTGTGGCATTTTTGCTCAAAGTGGCTAATCTCACACTTGAAAAACCAAGATTTTGCCATTGCATCAAGCAAACCATATCATAGTTAATAAGTTAAGAGTTCGAATTTGATCACTAATGGTATAATTACTAACACAAAATACTTACACCCTTGAGGCTTCAGTCAAATACTTACATTTTCGACTTTACCTTATAACTTACACACCCTTTGGCCACAAAAATCAGTGAGGCTGGTTGATAGCAGTCCGAATGAGCTGCAGACAAAATCATACACACCCGGCTAAACTACCTATCACGGTTGAACACATCAGTGCTCACTGTGGGCCCCATATGAGACCCAGCTGTACTGAACACCAACGTATTCAACTGTGATAGGTAGTTCATCCTGATGTGCATGATTTTGTCTCCAGCTAATCTGCTTGTCTCCAGCTAATCTGCTCCCGGTTAATTGAAAGGTAAAAAGTTGACACTGTTTATTTTATTTCTTCAACTCAGGAATTGGGATCTGCTCCTCACATAGGGCACCTCACGAAGATCTCAGGCACACCCCACCATACATTGGGAACATCTCCCGTAAATGATAACACATAAGTACGGAAGATATTCCCAAAATACAGTGAGATGTGCCTGTGAAATCGGTGTGAGGCGCCATGTGTGAGGAGCAGAGCAGATCCGGTCTCCAACCTAGTGGAGGTGGAGGTACTAGTAATTTACTATTACAGCCTTACCATAATTAAGGACTATGGTATCAGCATACTTATTCAGGTACATCCATTATTTGTTATGAGATAGAGGTCCAAATATGAATTTATGAGAAAGGCGTTACTGCTTTCTGATCCAAAGAATCTTCCAAAGCTTTTTTACATGGTAGCATTCAATGGGATCCAAACCCTTTGACAAAAGGTTGATAAGGTTATATGGTATATGCTGTAGCTTTATGCATAGGTATATAATTTATCTCATAAATTCATACTTAATGAGCATGCAGGCGTTGCACCAATTTCATCTGATATATGTGCAAGTTCATCTGTATCATACTACTATGTAAATGGTGGTAGAAAAGTTTACCCTAGCTGGAGTGCTGTTTGTTCTTGGCGGGAGTAATGGTGGTTGGGTTCCAGTAGATTTACTTGGAGGAAGTTCCGGGAGTCGAATGTCTGAGGCATCACCTCATATTCAGATGCAGACATCATGCTCATGTGCTGCTGTGCCCTCTCGTTCTCAGCTATCTAACCATCAGAAAGCTCATTTATATTATTATCATAAGCATCTAAATATACATTCATACAGAAGAATATAATGCAAGAGAGAGAGAGAGAGAGAGAGAGAGACCTTAGCACGAAGATACATGTTATCATTTTGTAACTCAATCTCCTGCATAAGATACAATGTATAATCAGTGACATTCAAAGCTGAAGAAGTTGTTAAGTGACACAATATGAAAAATGGAGAAAAGAGTTACTTGAAAGAGAAACATGAATGTAAGCCTAGTAGTAATTACCCTTTTCTGCATATACTGGATTTCGGCATACAACAACTCATTCTGTGAGATTTCAACATGTTAGTAAGACATACATGAGCTTATAACAAACTAAAGGACATTTATTGGGTACAGCTTAAGAAATACTGATGGGTATCAGATCAAATACCTTCTTAGATCGAATTCTGCTAATGCCTTTCTCCAATCTGCTCTCAAGCTGTTTGAGTTCTTTAACGGTCATAGTACTTAGAGCCTCTCCCATCAAATGCCTGCAAATGGAATTGTAGACGAAATTATAACTGTACAACTCTCGCAGGTTGAGCTTAACAAAGATTGATAGACTTACCTGTTTGAGTTTTGTAAAATGCCTATTTGTTGTCGCAGCTTATTGGCTTCTTGCTGGTAGAACTAATATGATTGTTGATAGAGCACAGAAGAGTTGGAATGTTTCAGTTAGAAAATGCGGAAAGGATGATGATTAATACAAAGATGTTGGAAATGGTTGATATATATATACAGAGAGAGAGAGAGAGAGAGAGAGAGAGAGAGAGAGAGAGAGAGTTTATGGGAAATAGTCTAATCTCTGCTTGCTGGCATGGCATCAATTACATATATATCTATGAAATATTTACCCATTTAAATACATGCAGTATATGATACATTTATTACTTGTTCTTTATTGAGAAATCAGAGAGCTCTCCTACACAGGAGAATGTGTACAACGAACAGACCTTACAACTAAACATGGAAACGATATGCTCAAAAAGATTGATAAGGGGATTAATCTCCAAAATTGAAACTTTGGCTTCCTGGGCAGGGCTATATTATTGACCTGTTTGAACTGTTACTGCATTAGACTGAACATGCAAGCGGCCTATTTAACTGTTTCTAAGTAAGTCTTGGAGATTGAATGATGAAGTATCATGATTAACAAATGGATCTCTGATCAAACCTGAGATGTTCCTCTTACGAATAAAAATGATTTTAAACACTAATTTTTGCATGTTTGTGTATTCTGTGCATAAATTTGACCACTAGTTTATTTAAAAGTCTTGTGGACATCCTTGTCATTGAATTTGTTGCCTGGTTCGAACAGGCAAGCTTAAACTCCTTAATTTGATGCTACCACTTTTCAATTGAATTTCTTGAAGAAGGATATATAGGCTATCACTTTGGATGCTAAACATATATTTGTTAGGTTTTCCACAGAGGAAGATTATTTGAAGGTGTGGTTGAGGGAGGTATTTATGATTTTTTTTTTTTTTTTTTGTTCTGGCTTTTCAAATGGGTTCCAGAGTTTGAAACTGGTTGGGAACCTTCAATTTTTGTGGGTATGGATTAACTTCCCCTCTTGCCAGTTAACTTTTATATCGAATAAGGCTTGTTGAGATCAATTGTTCAATCTGATGCCATTGGTTTGGTGAAAAAGGTGGAACCGTGGAAATTGTTTTTTATTGGTTTTTTCCCATGTTGCTAATTTGGTTTTCTTTTTGGGGTTTCGGCATTAATCTTTGGAGTTGGAGATGTGTGCTTTTTATAGTAGAGTTTGGCTTGAATGAGAAAGGTATTTACTTGTGGGGTAGCGAGTTTCTTTTCTTTCCCATTTGATCCTTTGTTAGTGGAACTTTTATTCATGCACGAATGTAGTTTTGTAAACCGCAGAAAATCGTTATGTTCTTGGATGTTCTTTTCTACCATGTGTTTTCTCTATTTCCTGTTACTATCAATCCTTACAATCCTGTTTCAACACAAAACTATTTGTGTATGAGAGAGAGAGAGAGAGAGAGAGAGAGATTTCAAGGTGAAAATGTAGTTAATGCATGCCATGCATTATTATTTACTCAAGTTCTATTTTTCAACCAGAAAACGACTTGAAGACCAATGACTAATAATAAAAATTCTAAACATTCTAAGTACTATTAATGGTTGATCAATAGTATCTAACAATGAATTTATTTTGATCCAAAAAATATTAATGTGAATCTTCATAGCTTGCACAGATCTAGGTTAAAAGACTTGTTAAAAAAGTAGAAAGAATGAAACTTACCTGGGCATTAGCTTCTGAAACAGATCCAGAATTGGAAGAATCTGCGGAGGCCTTCTTGTACCTCTCAATTGTTGTCTTGACACTGCACCCATTAACATAGAACCATATGAATTTTGCAAAATTGTTTTAGTTTTAATGGATCACCCAATTGAGCAACTTATTAGGAGTATAGTTCAGTTTCCCTGATTCAAAGAATTTTAAGTACATTAGGCTTGGGTTCAGGCTCAGGCCAACTCAAAATTTAACGAATGTGAAACCCAGCCTGATTAAAGTTGCACTCTACAACTTTAATGTGTTAAGAATTAGCCATGGTAATAGAAATGCCAAAAACAGCCATTTTTAGTTTTAACCTGAAGACAAATAGCAAACTGGACATTTTTGCTACATAGTGAGAGTTATACCCAGTATTATGAAGGATGCATCATAACAATGACAAAAGAACCTAAGAATGTAAGCAACTATAAGGAAATATCTTATGTAGGTAAGAGTGTATACAGGTCTGAATCATTATATGAATGCATAAATGCAAGAAAGATAATTGAACTTTTTGAATAATAATTGTCGATATACTTGGATATATACAAACAAAAAGCATAGACAGTCACATTTGGGAACTCTTTGGATAAAGGATTAGTTTTATCAAGTTCATGAGTGTAAGGATAATAAAAATTTTTCGGTAAGTAGGAACCTCTAATAACTATTAGAGTATTAGTCACTATAACTAATAGTCATGGTGAAGAGATATTTTATTAGTTATTAGAGAATATTAATTACAAATAATTGCCAATTTTTTTAATGCTTTTCCTTTGCACAACATAATACTTTCATTTAAATCTTTTATTTTAGGTATGCTAACTTCTAAAAAGTTTAAGTAAAGTGAAAGGAAAATAAAAAGGAAGCAAAGAAGAAAAGTAGAGAACATATAAAAGAGATGGAAAGAAGAAGAAGAAAGGGAAGTCCAGCAAGGAGAAGTCGAACTAGCTCTCCTCGCTTATCAACCAAGTTGAATTATCATTCACAAAAAGCCAAAATTACAACAATGCCCATAGATAAGTAAAACAGATATAAGTAAGAAAATACAATTAGAAAAAAACAAGTATGTCCCTTTTGACTAATTATAACACTCCCCCCTATATATATATAATTTCCAACTTGTTACAAATATAATTCATCCTTGAACGACCAATTCTTTTAGTAAAGATATCAACTAATTGGTTTTCTGACTTAACATAAGGAGTAATAATATATCCACTTGTCACTTTATCTCTCATAAAATGACAATTAACTTCAATATATTTAGCTCTTTCATGAAACACTAGGTTGGGGACTTGGAGGCAATATGTGTTGTGGCTTGGCTGTAACCATAGTTGTCAAGGCGATGCCTAGGCGACAAGGTGCCCTTGGAGGCTTGTAGTTTTGTGCACTATGTTATAAAATACTTATATTTTTTATTTTTTGACATTATAATTATAAAATAGGCATTATTAAAATAGAATACTCATTTTATGTGTTTATGTACTAATTTATTTTTGTTATTTTCTTATTTGTTAGGGTTTAATTAATCACCTAGCCTCGCCTTGGTGCCTTAAAAACTATGGTTGTAACAAAACAATTAAATGGGTTGACTAATTATGATAGTCATTTCCTAAAGAAGATGCTTCAACCAAACTAAGTCATAGTTTGCATGGGCAATTGCCCTATGTTCAACTTCAACACTACTCTTTTTTTTATTAGTAACTTCAACACTACTCTATGCTTTTTGCTCTTCCAAGACTTCTTGTCCATTAGAAACCCTACTTAATCTGCATTTGTTACCCTTCTAGGGACAAGTCTCCTCCTTTCTTGTACAATAACCCATGACCAGGAGCATCCTTAAGATACTTCAACACCCTCATAACTACATTCCAATAAGTAATTGTAAGGTTCTACATGAATTGACTGAGGACTTCAACACTAAAGGATATGCCAGGCCTAGTGATAGTGAGATAGATCAGCTTTCCTACCAGCCTTTGATATCTTACATGATCTTCTAATGACTCCCCTTGACTATCAGTCATCTTCACACAATAGAAGTTTTCACTGGCTTAGATCCCAACAACCTGATTTCATCTAACATGTCCAAAACATACTTTCATTAAGACAAAGAGTTTTCCACTTTGATTGTGCTACCTCAATTCCCAGAAAGTATTTTAAGGTTCACAAATCCTTAATTTGAAAATGTTGTTGTAAGAACTAATTCAACTCACTACTTCCATTTTACATCACTACTAATAAGAACAATATCATTAAAATAAATTGTCAGTATGATTTTCCCAAATGTAAAATCCCTACTAAACACAAAATCATTAACAATGCATTGTTTCAAACCATAATCTTGCACCACATTGCTAAAGTGACTAAACCATGTTCATGGTGATTGCTTCATCCCATAGATAGCCTTCCTCAATTGGTACACCTTCCCTGACACCCTCTAAGCAACATGTCCAGGATGTTGCTGCATATACACCTCTTCCTAAAGATCACCATGGAAAGAAAGAATTTTTGGCATCAAGTTGAAACAAGGGCCAATCAAATTGGGTGGCTAAGGAAATGAATACCCATATAAAGCCTATTTTAGCCACTAGTAATAAGGTCTTTAAATAATCCACACCATAAATTTATGTGTATCCCTTGGCAATAGGTTGAGCTTTGAACCATTTAATACTTTCATCTTGACAATGCTTAACTGTATAAGCCCACTAACAACCAACAAGCTAGTTCTTAGAATGTAAGGAGGTAAGGAAGTAAAACCCAAGTATTGTTGGATTGAAGAGAATGAGATTTTTTATCCATTGCCTTCTAGTTAGGAGATGAGATGGCTTGCTATACAAAACATGATGGAGAAACAAAGGATAAAAGGGAAATGAACTACTGATATAAAGGAGACAAGTGAAGAAAAGAGACATACCGAGAAAGGGTGTGGTTTGTGCATGCATGCTTACCTTTACAAAAAGCAATAAGAAGATCAAGATTTGAAGATGGTGGATCTGTCAACAATAAAGACTTTGGTGGTAGGTCAAAAGCTAAAGTTGGGTCAACAACTGATGATGATTTTGGTTGTCGATAATGTTTAGAGTACACTCTGTGAATTGATAGTGGGTAAGGGACAAAATTACATCACCGAAGTCAGAAGGAAGAGGGATAGAAGGGGATGAATCACACCTATAAAGAAGTTAACACCTAAAGCGACAAAAGCTTTTTGTAGAACAGGATCATAACACTTGTATCATTTTTTAGTATGAGAGTGACTGAGGAAAACACATATGATAGCTCTGGAATCAAGTTTATCATGACCCAAACCCAATTTGTGAACAAAACACACACTACCAAACACACGAAGAGGAAGAGAAAAAGAAGAAATAAAAGGAAACAAGATAGAGAATGGAGACTAACCATCTAAAACTAAGGAGGGCATATGGTTTATGAGAAAACAAGAGGTGATAATTGCATCACTCTAATAAATTTTAGGAACCGACATCTGAATCAACAAAGCATGAATGGTTTTAATCACTTGATGATTCTTCCTCTCAACCACACCATTTTGCTAAATAGTATTTGAACAGGAGAACCATGAGAGTTAAAGTAATATTGAAAACTATTATTAGTGTTCTTTAGCATTGATAAAACAAAATGCTTTAATACATACATCAAATTGTTTCCTTATCTCAGCATGAAAAGAGAAAAATAGAGAACAATTCTGAACACTTCTTCATTAAGTAGATCCATGTCATTCTTGAATAAGTCATCGATAAATATTATAAAATACCTGAATCCATCATAAGATGACACATGACTTGGTTCCCAAACATTTGAGTGAACTAAATCTAAAGGACTAAGGACTCTGTTATCGTCTTTGGGAACAAAATACACTTTATGATGTTTTCTTAATTGACATGACTCATAATCTAACTGATTACAAACTCTAAAATTGGAACTAACTTCTTCAAAATACATAGAGAATGATTATCAAGATGACAATGCCATTGATGTCGCATAAGAGAGGAGTGAAGAGCCTTTTGTGGGCCATGGTCATCTTAGTATAATTTTCCAACTTCATGGCCACCACTAATTTTCTTTCTTATCTTGAGATCTTGAAAGACACAATAAGACAGATAAAAGGTTACCAGAAAATGAAGGGCTTGAGTAGGTTTACTTATAAACAAGAGACTAGAGGGAAAGTTGGGAATATAAAAATATAGCCAAGAGGCATTACCGGTACCAATAATGGAGGAAGCGACATAAGCTAAAGTGGCAATTTGAGATGGAGGAGACAAAGATACAAACATATCTATGGAGCTAGTAATATGGTTTAAGGCTCCAAAATAAATTGCCCATGGTGAATGTGTATCACTAGAAACAAAGTAGGCAGTACCTAACTTCATAAGTGTGGCAGTGGTATTACTAGAAGAAGAAAACTAGGAAAGCCTCTCATACTCCTCACGTGAGACAGAGATTGTCTTTATCCTTGCCAACACTAGAAGTAGGAATATCTTCAATCACACTAAGGCTTTAAAAATCACCATTCACCACAACATGGTTAATCCAAGAAGATGGAGGACCATAAAGATCATAACAAATGTTGACTATGTGACCATCTTGTTCACTATGTGAGCACTCATGAGCTGAACTATGTTAACGACCACTATGACCACCACCATCTCTTCCACTTTTACCATGCATTCCTCTTCTAGTAAAACCTCCTCTAGAAGCTACCATACCTAATTGCTCTAAAGATGGGATGGATCACTATGTGGAGATAAGGATCTCCTTATGTAGGAGAAAGCCTCAAACAAGGACAGAACGTCACCGCTACCTAAGATTTGGGTCCACACCAGTTCAAATTCTCTTTGTTCTTGTTGTGTCTTCAAAGCAATGGATAGGGATTGATAAACATTAAGTTCATTCCTTAAGCTTTTCAAAGAAGCAAAATATTCTTTAACACTTTTATCCCCTTGATAAAGGGAAAAAAAGTTTTGGTATAATTAATATATTCTTCTAACATTATCTTGTCTGGAATATAAATACTTGGCACGGTCCCAAATC